GTATTTTGGCTGTGCAAGACTCTCCATCCAGACTTCGGCTCCTTGTGGTATTAGCCTTATTATTAGCCTGGTTTATTTACATTTGTGAAAGCCTATGAAGAGTAACGCTGGGGAAGAGGAGAGGATAAAATCTCCATTTACATTTAGCACGGAGCTGCGTAACATGTAGCCTATCTTCAACTCTAATTAAAAGAAGTGTTAGACACCTTTCTGAAATCTGTTGCACCAAAGTGATTCCTGACTGACTGAAAGGAAATAGGTGGTCAGTGTTTCTTCTGTAGTGGTGCAGCACCGTGGAATAATCCAATTACCACAGAAAATCTTTTTAGAGGACAAGTACCCAAGTGAAATGTTTTCCAAGATTCATTGAGTCTACTTTATAGAAGCCAAGAAAGGTAAATAGTACCTGCAAATGAACCAGTGTTTGTACCTTTTGGGAAAGTAGGTGGAACTTTAGCTTAACCAGGTGGGTTTTACTTTGGATGAATTTTGAAAAATGGTTCCAGTTGCTAATTCTGTTAAATAAAAGGATAGTATAAACAGTCCTAAACTGCATATATGGAACAAAGCAGAAATGTCAATAACATCAGAGAAATTATAAACCAAGGAAGGAATTTTTGCTTGAACCCTGGAAGCTCACAGAAGAGTAGCATTTTAGGTAAGGCAGTTGACAGGTTGAAAGTCTGTTTTGAATATACAGATGTTGCCGTAAAGAAGGGAAAAGCTGAGAGGAAATGGAGTTTAGACATCAGTTGGAATGAGAGTTGAACAGATCAAAAGTATAAAGCCTACATGAGAAATATAAAAGAACAAGGATGGAAAGAACAGCAAGTGTCTGACAAGACAAATGGAAAAAAATATATACCTATCCAATACCAGAAAGATAGATGGGGAATGAGCAAGCACTAACTTGAATAACAAGTGACTGAGTAAAGTAAATTATGCAAGGTCTTGAGGGAAAAGGTCAGAGAGTACACTGTAAAATGGAAAATTTGACCCTGAGACCTTTTGGGGAAATATGAGCTACAAGCAGATGTGAAAGCAATTGATTTGTTAGTAACTGGGGGTGATGGAAAAGATCCAGTTGTGGAATGCTTATCACCGTGATATGAATATATAAGGTCTCATTCCTGTAGCTGMTAACTATACAAGTCAGTTCTTGTAGCTGCTCACAAATGTTCTTATGCGTTTGCTTTATTCCAAGTTGATTTTTGAACAAGAAAAGTAGGCTTGTAATTACAAGAAAACTGTACTTTTTAAGTAATCCCTTTATGGTTCTTCAGGAAATAATCTACTCTCACAAGATAYATTGCGTATAATTTGTGGTAAGGCAGGAAATGCGAAAAGATCTGACTAGGACCTGAGTATACAGCTCTGTAGCCTTATAAATGCATAGCTAAAAATATGGATGCCTTATTGTTGAATTAGCTTTCGTTCTTTTACCTGCAACTATGTCTGACCTCAAATTAAAATACTCATTAGATGTCATCAGATAAGCTGTTTCTCTTCTGTAGCACGGCTTTGTCTTTTTTTAACATTTACCATCAGGGCTTGTATCCTAGATCTAATTAACAATCAGTTAGGGGCAGGCAACCTGGATACAGCAAGATGATGATGTTAATCTATAGTAACTTTCTACCTGATTATACTCTGGTCCTACTCAGAGGTCTCCTGCCCTCTTAGCTTATATGTAAGTACTGTGTTAACTGTTTCCTGTCCCATTCTGAACTGGGGAAAGGCCAGCATACTGTAATGAAGTAGATGGCATCACCTCTGAAAATAAAGAGCAGCTAAGGGAGAACCTGTGCTGTTTTTTTGTAAATATTATCTCTAATCCTATTTTAATGAAACTTGTCTGTTCTTGGGTCTAGATGTTTAATTAAAGTACAGTATCTTAAAGACCTCAGGTTAATTTCATGTGCATAACATTAAAAAAAGAAAATCAAGTGCTATACACCAAGCAAGCACAGTTTTCAGATATAAAAATAGTAGTCTTTATTGTGTTCCTGAGAAAGGGGTGTGTCTTTTAGTCTGCCCTAAAGTTCAATAGATTTTAACTATTTCAAACCAAAGGTGGGAGTAAATTGCAAAGCAAACTGTCCTCTAGTGAGTCAGCCTTGCTGACAACTCACTTTACTACTTCTTTTTTTAATACTAAATGTGTCCGGCATGAGTCTTTCCCCTGACAGCTCCTGTGGCAGCATGGGATGAGGAGACACATGGTCTCTCAGATAGGCGAGACCCATATAATTTAGAGTTCTACAGGTCAAGAATAGTGTCATGATTTTTTCTGTAGAGATTGATAAGACTCCTGTATAGGTATCTGAGCTCTGCTGTCATATTTGGAACAAGATATGCTATTTGATAAATGAGCTGCTACAGCCAAGCTAGCTTCTGGTACTGAATTGATCTAAGGGATGCTATAATGTGGAACACATTGTCTTGTGTCAGTAAAGGTTTGGATGCTATTAATGATCTGTTTCCTATATTTTTGAGTAGAGTGAAGCTGAGAATACCAGCTACCCCTGTGTCTCTCTTCACCCTTCTCGTTATAGTTGTTAAAGGGCTTTCCAGTTATATTAAATTTGTGCCTTTCCAGACATGTTATTTCTTTAAGGATTATTGATGAAAAATATTCTTCTCTACAAAATACCTTCAGAAACAGTCATGTGGGAACATTTTGGCTATTTATTAGTAGCTCATAGAGAATGATCTGTAAAAGCTTTTAACTCACATTTGCCCTGGAGTATGAGCTTTTAGCTGCTTGTAAGATGTGCTTTCTGGAAGTATGAGTTAATTCTAAGACACCGCCATCTACCTGTGTTTATAGCTGTGTAATTCAAAATGTGGCTATGTTTTGATRATATAATTAATTGTATGTATCCACAGATCTTACTGGTACCATGGAGACCTGGAACAAAAATCCAAAAGTGTCTAGAGTTTGGTAGAACTCTCTTATCTTGAGGTAGATGTGTAGGTTCTTTAATAAAAATATGACTTAAGTCTCTGCAAACTGCTAGTTCACAGAGAGCAGTACCTTTCAGTTTGCTGTCTCCTAGGAAGCAGGCGGGATGAATGTAAGAAAAGTGTAGAAAGTGAGAGATATGAGTCTGCAATTCTATTAACATTTCAACATTTAAATGACCTCAGGCAGGTAGTTGCTCTTTCCAAACCAGTTAGTGTGTCTGAGGGTTTAAAAACATTTTGGGACTTTCKAATTGTTTGACTAATGCTCAGCAGACAGCCCATATCATTAGTTCTACTGCTGTGCCTTGATATCCTAGATATGGTTGTAATAAAAATAGGAAGTAATAAGAATTGATGCATTATAAGACTTAGAATCTGTCCTATAAAGCTTCTAATCTACATAAATGCAACCAAACTGAAACACTGCTTGTTGTGTTTAAAACAAATCTTTCTTACAAGCAGTAGTCCATTTTGATGCTGATTAGTTGTCGTAGCACTAGATTGTCTCTGAATATACAGTTAAATCATAGGGAAATGTATATATATGTATATTAAATATGTGTGTGTGTGTATATATAAAGATACACCTACAAGTTTGTACAAAGTATGTTTAAAGATTATTGTTAAGTTTACAGTAAAAAGCTTGTTTTGAAGGCGGGATTTTTTTATTTGTGGTATCRGAGTCAGTTTCAATGTGTGTAACAAGACTTCTGTATTGCCTTTAAAGGATTTTATGATMGTTTAATTAAACTATAATTAGTGCTAAACTGTTATATGAAAACATACCTGATCAGTGTAAGAAGAGGTGAGTATGTACCTCTGCAATCAAATGTAGGGAGGACCTTGTTTGTTAGCTGTTTCAATTCCTTGGCTAGCTTTGCTTCTAAAGCTTTAACAAGGCTTAAAATGTAACTGAAATTCTGTAGTGTGTGCAAGCATTTTGCTTTTAWAAAATGAGTTGATACTTATTCTGTAACCTTAGAAAACATATAAATCTTTCATAAGTTTATTAATGTGTATAAGTTTATTTATCTTTCATAAGTTTTCTGCTATTTTTAATAACCCAAATCTGTCACATATATTGTTGGCTAAAATCATGCTGTAGCTACCAAGCAGTCAAAACACTGAGACAGTTTATAATCCTCATAAAGACTGCAATACCAAGAAGGGGATTTGAGAAGTTAAATTCCTATTTTGGATGGAGGTTGGATGTGACATGAAAGCTCTTCCTCAGTCATGGTGAGTTGTTGAATCCACAAGAGGCTGGAAAGGCTTCATTAACACTTGTCAGTTTATATACAGTAATGCAATTTCCAAGTCATTTCCTGAATTCAGTTAAAACATGATATTGAGAACAATGTATTCCAGTAGGTTTTGTGTAAAATATAATAGATATATCAAGTTATATGAATTATGGGAGAATACTGAAGTAAAAATGAAAATGTCAGCACTGTGCCCAATTAAATGAATAACTGTTACATTAAATGTAATATTTAATTTAAATATGAACTTAATTTTAAGATCTGTCCTTTCAGTGTGATGATCAGAGTTGCTTGTAAAAAGCAAGTTGAAAATAGCATTCTGTGTGATGGGACTATTATGATCTGTAACAGACTATAATACTCCGCTGCAATAGTCTGGATATTCAAGGGAAGAGTTTTCTTTCAGTTTTAGCTTTTAGTTTATAGTGCTGTCTAACATTAAATATTGTTAATATTTTTTGTATCTTAAAAGAAAATGCACTTTTTTTAGTCATCCATTATTTCAATTGCAATTGTCACATTGTAAGAACCTTTTACATAGGTTACTGTATATACAAACTTAACAAAACTTGTTCACTAAGGAGCAAATACTCTAGGTACACTCTAGACCCTTCCTTAGATAGTCAACTCTGTAATGATGTTGCTTCTGTGTTTCATGTAAGCTAATCTATACCTGCAGTTGTAAATTCTTGTTAAAAGATTTTTCTGAAAGCCTTGAGAATTAATGGCATTCCCTAACCATCATCTACAAAGGCAGCAAGGAAGATTCATACTGAAGAAGTCCAAGATCCAAGTTTTCAAAAGACATCCAACATTGAACAAAAGTTACTTTCTACCCACTTGTACACAAATGCTCTAGAGAGCTTAGGGATGTATCAGACCAAATCTATTCATGTATTCCACCTGCTTAACTAGAATCTCATTAGTGTGGTATTATTCCCTTAAACTTATAGCTAATACCAGTAATACATGGTTTGCTTAGTTCTTGGTGCATTGCATGTTCAGCATCTGCAAATGCTTCATCTTGTTTTGTGTTTCACAGAGTTTTAGGATCAGCACTGTTGATGCTATTGGTAAGAGTCTGAATTCTGCAGATGGTTGTTCTAGAGCTTAGCAACTTAATAGGTAGTGGTGATACAGATCCTGTTATTCTTAAACTACTGTGCTTCTCTTTCATTTGTACTTGCATAGTGTGGACTGACATACACTGAAAGAGGATTTCCTTGATGGCTCTTAGCTGATTAATTGCAACCCACTTGGACAGTCAGCAGGGGAATCCTTTATTCTAAATAACAAAGTGTTTGATGTAAGTGTTTGATATTTCTTATCAATTTGTCTAAACTTTCAACCATTATAATCCCAGTACTGACTGGGCTTGAGTCTTGACAGTGTAGTTATTATTTTGGAATAAAAATATTAAAATATAATTAACATGCTAAAACACTTTATCCTAGTTTAAATCAAACTGTTAGGATTGACCTTCTCAATAGGTGAATTAGTGCAGCCATTCAAAGGTGCTACTTTCATTTTTGATATGTAGATTGAAGATTGTAGAAATAGTTATCCTGAATTTCACATAGATTGGAATGTATCCACACAGTGCTCAAAGAATATTTGGAAAGGCGGCAAGCAAGCATCCGGAGGCTACCACATTTACTATTCAATCMTTTTCATTTTACCTGGTAATGAAGTTTGTCTTTACAAGAATTCTTTGCCCAAAGTAGAAGAAATTTTTTCAGAAGAAAAATATTCACCTCATATGAACTCTCTTCTGTGTAAATTCCATGAATTCATTGTGACTTAAGCTATGAACACAGACTCTTCCTAATGYATATCCTGTTAGCATAAGTAGCCTTACATAAGGCTGTAGTTTTCTTCTGCAAGAGTTCAAGTTTGCCTGGTTTTTTTTCTGAAGGAAAGTGCTGAATAAGGTCTAGCCTACATAGAGGTGATTAGAGAAATTAATGTACTTAGTGTGGTTTAATCCGTGTCAGAAAGTAAATAGCAGGTAAGTTCTCATTCAGAATCGAGGTAGCCTTCATTGACTTTAGTTTGTTTTACTTTCAAAGTAGTTTTAATTCCATTTGCTTTAATTTACTTCAATTCTGCAAAGTGTAGTTCTGCAAAGGGGCTACCTATTGCTCCAGTACAGTTTTACTAATTTACAATGAATTCACAGCTTAAATTCAGATATAGTTTGTCTTAAAGGCATAAGCATATAAGCAAGAGTGAGCTAGGGCAATTTTACTAGCTGGTGGTGAATACTGAACAACCCAGTACAGATGTTCAATGACAGTTTAGCTTCCTCTCCAAAAGCATGGGCAAATAATCTCCCCCTGCATTCTGAGACATCTGTAGTGATCAAAACACTTCTATGAAATGTAGCACATAAGAGACACAACATACCTAAATTTGTCTAACATAGCTTCACTTAGCAGGTGCTTTGATTATTTAAATCTTTGCATAGGTAAGGCAGGGGGGTAATGGTGGAAATGAAGCTTYCCTGCAGTAAGCTCTCAGAACACAAATGAAGTGATCCAACATTCCAGGATGGATAAAAACAGAGGATGTTCATTTTAGACAAATKGCTATACCTGGGCTAATAATGTTGAGCAGGAAGTGGGAAAACTGAAATTATTGGTACTGCTGCTGAAGGGGAAGAATTTGATATCATTCCTTACCCGCACATGTAGAGGAATGGTGCAGGAATTTYAACTGCAGCACTACATGGTTAGTGTGTACCTCAGTGAGTTCTTTGCATTTGCTTGGTATTCTTCACATCAGTAATTTATATTAATATGCTGCATCCATTTAAGAGGRAAAGACGTGCCTGAAAGTTATTTGTGTTCTTGAATGTAATTGACTGTGAGCGTTCAATAGTTGACATTAACACAAGATATGGTTGATTTCTCTCAGGATATTCTCTCATCAAYCAGTCTGGATTTTTCAGGGATGATATTGTTAATCTAACTAGGTGACCGCAATATGCTGGATAATCCTACTTGATGAAGAGTTACAGAAATGCTTTGAGATGGGTGGGAAGAATCATCTGTACAGGATGACAGCAGAATGTCTGGAAAGCAGTAGTAATACAGCTGAGAGGTAGCAGTAGTGAAGAATAGCTTYTCTAAAGCAGAGGATTAGTCAGAGCTTGGCACATGTGGCTGTCAGTTCTTCTCTGTTTTCTCATTAAAATGCTGTGATTTGGTCAAGGATTAGCTATGGCTCTTGGACCCGTATTTGTGCTGTAGAACAGAAAACAAGCTAGTTGYAACCTACCTGTACCATTTGCATAGTAATTCCAAGCCCAGAATATCTTCCAAAAAATGTATACCTTCAGTCTATCTCTTCTACATGAAGGAGGGCAAATCCTGTGGAGCCTTTGGGGTAGGGAAACGCCCTAGCTATTCCCATGGATATATTACCATGTTCAGTGGTATGACGGCTCTTGTACAAATCCTGCCTGTAGACAATCTGAAAATTGTCTGTAAATTACAAATTGTAAATACAATACTGTAAAATACAAATTGTTAATTACAATCTGTAAATTACTGAAGTCCAGCATATCCTTATGTAAATATGGGAAAAGTAAGAATGGTGAAAAATTCTAGTTTATCTTGGTGTATCCTGCCAGGAAAAAAATATATAAATAAAAATTTGCTTTTCTATGAAAACTACACAACCATCTGACTTCCATGACCTCATTGGTCACACAGACTTTGGTCAAAAGGTCTGTATATTTTCTAACTTCCACAAGACTACATATATGAGAACAGCTTATTCATACAGCTAAAGACTGTTGGATCAGAACTTTAGAGGGCACTTCTTCATTAGAGGGGAAAACCGTGCCACATTTATTAAAGGAATTTTTTTCAGAATTTCATGCAATGCCCTTAATGTGACTGCAAATGCCGTGTGAATCTCTAATAAGCTATAAATCACTGCACTGCTATGTTTTATTGTTCTGTGATGATTAATATCTTCATTCCATATTATTTCAGATTTCCAAAATAACGCAGATGTTAACTTGTCCAGTATCAGAAGAGCATCAGAAGAAACAGATCTTTTTTTGGAAACCAACCATGTTTCTGAAACATTAGAAACTCRCCAGCAATCAGCACTGGTGCTTCCGGCTAGGATATCATGTGAAGTAAGGCTTTGGAATGGTAAAATCTTTGGGGTAACTGTTCTGCTGCTGTCCCTGCTGTAATCTCATTTTTACTCTGTCGGTTTTGAGAACAAATAAAATAAGGAGCCAAAATGAGAGTGTGCTTAGCCTGCAGTGGTATTTGTTTTGCCTTTATGTCACATCCACACTGCAGCTAAAAGATTTGTAGATAAAATAGATTCAAGAGAGTCTCTGAAAAAGGATTTTATCTCTATTAAATTTTTTGGCAGTTTAGGTAGAGATATTACTGTCATCAAGAACTTGTAGAAGGGAAGGCAATATGAAGGGACTTCTCAAGAGATGTGAAGAGTCTTTTGGGAAGAATCAATGTATTCGGACTTGCTTGTGTGTGTTAGGAAGCTTCTGTATGTATGCATTTTTGCCTAATTTTAAGTTGAAATCTGAAGTAGTTTTATGTACATATCTACGTGCATTTTCTACAAACACAGATGTTGACATGCTTTTACTTCAGGGTTGTTATAAGAAAACATRTGACAATGTTAGCAGAAAATGTATGATATCCAGATATCCAGAAAGTATGATATCCAGTGCTACGTTTCTTTGTACTTATAGCAAATAGTCAGATATGAGGCTTGCAGTGCACATGGAGTGTCACATATTATCAGTAGACTGTTCCATATGTCAGGCCTTGGTAATAGATTACCAGYTGAATAATGGAAAACATCATATATTTTGACCTATTTAGCTCTCTTACAGGTTATCTTCTCTATAAATTACTCCAAAGCCTGGATGCTTTCAAAGAGAATTGCAACTAGACATCTTTAAAATAAATAGAGTCTTGAAAAATGCTATTGTATTAGCTAGAAATCTCCATTACGCAAACTGAAATAGTATTATAAATGATAGTGTCTTGCTAAAGACTTTACTTATGGATTAAATTTGTGTTCATCAAAGTTTAGAGTTTTTTGTGGTGGTGCAAATGTATATTTTTTCTGCTGAAAAACAATAGCAGTTCCACAGAGCAACAGTCTAAAGATAAACAGAATAAAATTATACGTCAGTATGTTGCTGTAAATCACCGTAATTTAAGCCACTATTACTTGATGTAGAAGTGTGAACCTAAAATAAAAAAACAAACAACAACAAAAAACCACACCCAAGTGCTTCATCCTAAAACTTCTTGCTAGTTCTTTCTGCTTCAGTCTACCTAAGACTGTGTAATTTGTACTTTAAAAATTGATTTCTACATCTAAAAGATGACTTTATAATGACAGATGATTTTATAAAATGGTCTTTTAGAGATAACTTATACCCATTATTTCACTGTTGAGCTTGGAAAGTTCTAAGGGAGTATAATTCCTTCTGGTTCAGCAGGCGCTAGAGGGCTGTTTCCTCAATTTAGTCACTGYTTCTGTGCCACTTTACTGTTAGTTCACTCTAAAAAATTATGTCTGAAGTATATTAGATTCTTATTATCTTAAATGTCTTTTTTCTAGACTATAAAATGGACTTAGAAACAGTAATAATATATCTACATGGGATACTGTTTTAAAAGGTCATTAAGTAAGCTGAATTCGAAATGCTACGTATTGTGCTGTGTTTTATTGTTGAAAACTGAAAAGTATTGTTAAAAACTTTTTGTTCCGTTTAGGCTTTAATTTACATTTTACAATTTCAGTATTATTGGATGAAGGACTAATGTGAAAATACTTTGGATTTTATAGAACCCTGGTGAAATATTTATTTTGTTGAAAGATGAAGTTGATGATGAAACTTTAGAAATCGAATTCATAGCGGACAATCAACGAATTAGGACACATCCAGCCTCTTGGAATCAGAAGGTCAAGTATATGAAAGCCGTGGGTAAGAGGCAATTTCTTTAAGTAAACAGGACATTTTAACCTCCCTTTGCTTTTTCTGGTAACTAGTTTCACTTCCCACAGTAGACTCTAGGTGTTTCCTGTATGTGGGTTTTGCATAAAGAACACTTATAAATAATACAGAGAGAATGATTTATGGGAAACTAAGTTCTATTAGAATGTTTTTCTGTGGTTAAATGGCAGAYGGCTGTCTTAAAAAGTCATTAATTAATCACAGATTAGCATTCTTCAAAATTACTGCCATAAAATGCARAGTTAATATTCTTTTCTTATTACTGCCTTGCTAAGTAATGCAGAAATCTAAGGCAGTAAACTTACATTCCTCTCTATARTTCTTACTGGTACAGGGAAACTTCTTTGCTTGCTTATTTCTTCATGCCCATGTCATTTCTCTGTATCACTCAGCTGTACTATTTTTTTGTCCCGCTCCTCTATCTATAGTTTATTTTCCTTATTTTGCCTGAGAGTGATAAAGCGCACAAAAAAAACCCACTGTTTTTATGAGTTGTAGAAAACAGTTTTAAGGGCCGCACCACACCAGTCCTCATTCACATGATTAGAGTTATGAATTAAGCTATATTCCACTTATGCATTCAAACTTTGGCTTGCCACTACCTTGCATGATATGAATTCCAAAAAATACTTACATAATAATTTATTTTAAACTCTTCTAATAGAACATTAGATGGGGAGAAAATGTGTGCTATAGTTTTGAACTAGGGCTTCTTGCAGCTACCTTTGGTTAATTGTGTGACCAGATTGTCAACAGATGCACTGTCCATGCATCCTGAGTGTGATTTCATACTACATAGTTTGGCCCTTCTACATTTTCAAGGTTGCCTATTTGAATTTCTTTTTTGGTTGAGAATGTTTTAATTTCTTAATAACTGAGCTAATGCTGATATGCTATAGCAGTGTTCCTGGCACAATGAATACTAATGAATTATGAAATATGCCCATCAAGAAGGCCCATGCTGCATGTTCAGAGGAAGTTATGCTTGAGGTAACAGACTGTGCTCTTTCCTGAGCTTTTACTAGGTAAACAAGTGGAATGGAAGCAATTATACTCTAGACTAGTTCAAATCAAATTTTGAGAATCTTRCCTGTGATGAAGAAAATGTTTCAAAAGGAAAATAGCAATTCAGCAGTTCATAATAAATGAACTTTTCTGTGATCTGTAGGAGCTGATAACAGGTCATCAGTCAATGAAAGGGATGTTTGAAATGTGAAGCATGCATACTCTTTTCGTTGCTTTTCTAACTTGAAGTAATACAATGTCGTTCTTTTATAAAGATTAGTAGCGTTATATTCTCTTCTGTCAGTTTTTGAATSTTAGACTGAAAGACCTGGATAAAAAAAACTGAGTATGCTGAATCATCTGTGAAATACAAATCCTGTTTGTTGCTACTCTGCATTTTCTCTAATATTTTTCTCTGCTCTTTTACTGAGACCTCTGATCTGTGATTGTAAAATATTTTCAGCTATTTTTCTGGTTTGTGTTTTATAAGATTTTCCTGCTGGCCCTGTGTATATAAATGTCTACTGTGGAGGAGTCATTAAGGCCACGGCACAGATTGAATACTATACTGAACTAGGGGAGATTGAGAACATTCTCAAAAAACTGGCTGATCCAATAGCTTTTGCTTGTCAGGTAAGTTGACCTCTGTTGTAAATTAATAAGGAAAGAGGAAGGTRAGTGCCAATATGAGTTAAGGAAACATGCACCATGCTGTAAAGGCTGTATTTTGATTCCATAATAAAGAATAATGGCTCAATAGCGGGCTCCAGATTAGAGGCTTGTCTTTGAGATGTCTAGCTGTAAGCAACCAGRCAAGTGAAAACTACTTCTGTCTCTTTTGGTTTTGCTGTTGTTTAGTCAGTGACATRAATATTCTTGCTGTTGTGTATGCCCAAAGGACAGCATCCTGCATTACAGGGGATGAAAATAATAACACAGTACTATTTAAAACTGCCCTCCTCTCCATCAAAAGTGTTCTCTTGTGTGTATTATAAAACCGGTAACAACAAATAGTTTTAAATCACTTTGTATTTGAAAGTATTTGAAATTATTAATTCACCAAGAAACGGGATTTTTCTGGCATAATTTATGTGGAAGACATAAGGTTGCTATTCATATAGAGTCTGTATACAGCTGCTGAATTATCATTCATGTGGTTTGCTGGTTGCCGTGCAGATACTTTGCATATATTTAGAAGAATTTAGGTTTTGAAGCTGGGCTTCAAGTCAGCTCAGCAGACTGCAGTGTTCTGCAATATCTTCTTTATTAATGGCACATACAAAATAAGAAAAGAAAGCATACGCTAAGAAAGGGTGAAATCTGATGTATCGTTTGTTCAATGGTGGGTAGTCCAAGCAGACACATCGTGATGTCTATATTGTAATTGCAAAGCCAGAACAAAAGTAGTAGTCTCTGTTTCCAAGGCAGACAGTCTCATTTTCTTGTGACAAATCTACCTTATCTAACACCTAAGGCATTACACTCATAACAAAAGGATTAATAAAAAATGATGTATTATTAGTATT